GATATATATATATATATATATATATATATATATATATATCGTCAAATAGAACTGCCCGGTAAACCGTAGGCAGAGAGGGATATATATATATCACGATTTGAACTCGTGATCTGCTTATTGAACAGTTACATATGCACAACTCAGCCATGATCACAGAGAGCCCCACTTCTTTTTTTTTTTGACTGCGATATTCCAGGCTGCTTGGTGATGATGAATGGAAGGAGGGGGGAACAGGAGGTAACGGAACGTGTGAAACCATCACTACCTTTCACAGGCAAGCTCAAAACACAAATTCGCAACGAACCACATTTTCTTTGGGTGAAAAGAGAGTGCTACTCAACCGAAATTGCTGGCAGCACCGGCCCAAAAAAAAAGGACGAAACATCGTGTCGGCTGGCTTTCCACCCCGGGCGCCCGGGATACCCCACCATGCCCGGAATGGCGCCCGGGGTGCCGAGCCGGGCGACCCCCCCGAGCAGGCACCCGGGCACCTATCGCACCGAGGCAGAAAAAGCCTCCAATTTTTTTTTTCGCGCTGCCACCCTATTCCGAACATGCGAACTTCCATTTTGGCGGTCGGCGCATTTTTTTTAGGGGTCCAGTACGCCCTGTTTTGTAGGGGTTTTTTTTTCTTGGATTTTGGCTGTCCATCTCCAGCAATCGACGGCGCGCACTGATCCAGGATACAAAATTTAGTCCTGAGCTTCTCCTTCGTTTATTCTTCTTCTTCTTCTTTCTTCTGTTTTTTCTCTTTCTGTTTCTCTTCTTTTTCTTCTTCTTTTTCTTCGCCTCCCTCCACCTTCCTCTGATGTGGCGCTGCTCCCTCCCCACGCCCCCTCCATCACCTCACCGCCCTCCTTCCTCCCTTCTCCCTCCTCCCTCACTCCTCTGACGTGGCGCTCATCCATCCTATTTTCCTCCTCTGACGTGCCGCTTCTCCCTTCTCCCTCTGGGGCTCGTTTGACACTCCTCAGGCACGTAAAGTCCCGGAGGAATTGTTCGTTCCACCTATCCTCGGGGATGCAGTCGGGAAAAAAAAAGTGAAAACACTCCGAAGGAAATTCCTTGGGCTCCAAGGATTCCCCAGCCATTCCTTCCTTTTGCCCAAGCGGCCTCACCAGGTCCCTTGGGCAAAAGGCATCCGCGTTTCATGGAGAGGAGCGGGCACATGGGTAGAGAGATGTTACAACCGAGAATCTGGATCGTGGCGGCACCCTATTGGCTGAAGGCCTCAAGCACATTTGATTTTTTTTTCTTTTCTTTTTTCTTTTCTGACATGGCTCGGAGGAAATGTCCTCGGGCGACATCCCCGAGGACAGGTGGAACGAAGGGCCCAAATTTCCTTTTGAACCAAAAGGAATTTTTCCTTTTGCCCGAGGATTTCAATAGGAGTGTCGAATGAGCCCCCTCTGTCTTGGCGCTCCTTCGTCCTCCCTCTGACGTGGCACTCCAGCACAGGTGGGACAAAGCAGCTGATGCATCCCCCACCCTGTAAATGGACAGTCCATAATCCAGCCCCCTCCTGCAC